GGAGCCTTTAAAACATTGCTTTTCATGGCCGGGGCCGGGATACAGGTCAAGTGAAGGAGGGGCAATGGGTCTTCACTGACGCCGACCCCCGCTTCGGGGTCGGCGGATACCCCAGTATATCCTATCCTATGTAGTTCCTGTATAATTCCTATATAATCCCTATAGTTTCCATTTTCTTGTCCATTTTTTTTTCCATTTTCTTTTGAGGCAAAGTTCCCTCCACATGCAGCTGAAGCTTTCGCTGCGCTTGGTCTTCGCTGCACCGAGTACCAGGAGGAGCGTTTTAAGTGGAAACTTGGCACAGTGACCCCGATTCCCTAAAGGATCCAAAAAATGGATCCCCTTAATTCTTAATCATCCCCTAGGTTCCCCAATATAGTAATGGAACCATTTTGGGGGGGGTTCTATTTTTTTGGATCCTTTGGGGGGTCTGGGGACAAAGCGAGATGACGGAAAGCGAACCAGGAGAGTTTCTGTTTTGTGCCTGTGTGCCTGTGTGCGCGTGTGCGTGTGGGGACAGACAGTCCTGATTTGCATGCTGTGGCACAATCATGGCCATGGCCAGCAGAAGCCTGCATAACAGCTATCGGATTCTCTGAATGTAGGCTATAAGGTTTTATGGGGTGCAGACTTGCAGGGGCCAGATTTTTTGTGTCATAGGTTTGGCTGAGGTGTGGCTCAGAGCCCCTGGTCCTCTGGTCTTGGCTGCGGCTCTTGGAAAGTTAAGAGCACTGTAAGTTACAGTCTTTGGAGCTTTTGAAAATCTAGGAAGACTGCACATTACCCTCTTTGTGGTTCTCTTTGATGCGAAGAATACTGTCAATTGCAGCATTGGGGGGCTTTTAATGACCAACAAAACTGGAAATTCCTTTTTTCCTGAAAGGCTGCGAACACTGCAAACTGCCATGCCTCTTAAAAGGCTACGAATGCTGTGAATTACAGCATGAGGATTGGAAAGCTACGAATGTTTTAAATTCCTGTATTTACGAAGTCCAATGTCCATATTTGGTAAATGGGGGGGAGCTCTGGCCCCCGACCCCCTGGCTGGGTGCAAGGCTACTCATTCTGATCTGCATCCATTTTGTTCAAATGGGGTGGGCTTCGCTGCGCTCCCCCCAACCCCCCTGCTATTTTGTAATGCAAGCGCAATGCCAGACAGCCTTATCAAAGAAGCTACGTGTTCTGATCTCCATCCATTTTTGTAAGTGCAAAACTGCGCACTCCCCAGCCTCCCCTGATCTCCCATGCGATTTCGTAATCGAAACAAATATATCAGGGGGGCAAAAAGCTAGGTGTTCTTATCTTTATCCATGTTTTGCAAATGGGGGGGGGAGCCGCGCACCCCCCAACCCCCCCGCTGTTTCATAGTGCACGCACAATGCAAAACCCAAACCCAGCAAAGGGTGCAAGAAGCGGCGTGTTTGATGTTCTGATCTTCGCCCTTGTTTTGCAAATCGGCGGGGCTGCGCCCCCCCCAATCCCCCCGCCATTTTGAAATGCAAACGCGTTGCTTAACAAAGCCAGTTAATGCGTGCCAGAAGCTTCGTGTTCCAATTCTCGTCACTGCCTGTCCCAATCTTCGTCCATGCTTTTCAAAAAATTGGGCGGCCTGCGCCACCCCCAGTCGCCTGCTATGTTGTAATGACTGCACACTGCTTTCGAGTCGTAGTTTTCAAAAGCTACAAACGCTGTCATTTACATTGTTTTACAGCAGGCAAAGGCTTGGCAAATCTGATCCAAACCTTTGTTGACTTGAAGTAACCTCTACGTTCTACGTTTTTATTGTTGCTAACGTTTTGGCACAGTTCGTCTCTCCAATCCCACTGCTTTGTGCAAAGCCCAGCTTCGCAAGAACCTACATGTTTTGTATGTTTGGAGTTCTTTTTATGCTACGAATGCTTCAAATTCCATTCATCGCACGTTTTGAAAGTCTGCGACTACTGTAAGTAATTGCATTGAGAGTTGCGGGAGAGGTTGCAACACGGCAAAAATACAGCAGTTGGAGCTGTTCAAAGGTTGAGCATATAGCAAATTATTGCAAAATAGTGCACTTGAAATTTTTGAAAACCTATAGATATTGCAAAATCAGCTACGTTTGTGCCTCTTGAAAGATGACGCGTTTACATAACAGCATCGCGAGCTCTGGAAAGGTTGCAAACTTTGTAGATGACATCATTTGGCCACGTTTTTTGCTCCATTTGTAATAAAGACGAGGTAGGGCCAACGTCAAAAGTGTTAACAGTCGCAGGGATCAGGCGGGTCGTGGTCGCCATCCGCGTAGCTGTCATTGTTATCATTGCTTTTGAGTTTTCACATATTTTTCTTGGCGTGTCAAAAGTGTTAACAGTCACAGGGATCAGGCGGGT